CCCCCCCCCCCCCCCTCTCCTTCGTCTTTTAGCCTAATTGTGACAAAATCACAGGGAACAAATAAAATGTTCAAGACCAGAACATAAACTTGGACACATTTCAAGTCAGGCAAGCTACAAATCTCGCGCATAACAGAAATCTTGGCTACATAAGACGCTTAACCAAGGAAATCTTATTGAACAGAACCTAATGGCTCTATCCCCAATACTCAATTAGAAATCACTTTAAATTAAACTCCAACAGTAGAATATCAAACACAAACAGTAAAAACTAATCTACTCAACTGATAAAACAAAGTAAGATCCAAAATCAAATGACCAGTAGATTTAATTCCCTAGATGTTCTACGATTTTCAATTCACTGTTAATAATTTTTTTGCCACAAAAATGAGCTTGATTACCATGGTGAAGATAGCGATGAAGAACAGTAGCACTGTGAAAGTGGCGGTGAAGCCTCCACCACCTCGTTGTGGACGAGGCTGCGGAGGAGCTGCTCTCTGTTGCTGGGCATCCATAGCGGTGAGTGAGAGCTCGAGTTGTGTGCTTTTCTGGTTNCTCCACCACCTCGTTGTGGACGAGGCTGCGGAGGAGCTGCTCTCTGTTGCTGGGCATCCATAGCGGTGAGTGAGAGCTCGAGTTGTGTGCTTTTCTGGTTTTTTACTTTGACCCTTTAAACTATACCCCCATTTCACATTACACTCTAAACTATCCGTTTTCTCATATTGCACCTATTAGGGTATGTTTGGATGGTTTAAGGATGGGAGATTGGATTGATTTTATCAAACCCTTTCAAATCCAAACCCAATTTCCACCTTTGTGTATATGAAATTCACACATGAATCTTATCCATAGCCGTGTTTGGTATATAATCTATCCACATGTAAAACTCATGNTTTTTTACTTTGACCCTTTAAACTATACCCCCATTTCACATTACACTCTAAACTATCTGTTTTTCTCATATTGCACCTATTAGGGTATGTTTGGATGGTTTAGGGATGGGAGATTGGATTGGTTTTATCAAACCCTTTCAAATCCAAACCCAATTTCCACCTTTGTGTATATGAAATTCACACATGAATCTTATCCATAGCCTTGTTTGGTATATAATCTATACACATGTAAAACTCATANCCTTTGTGTATATGAAATTCACACATGAATCTTATCCATAGCCTTGTTTGGTATATAATCTATCCACATGTAAAACTCATGAATTTATCAGTATACATTTATCATGTAAATCAATTAATGACTACAGTGGGTCAAGATTGGTTGGATTTGGGTAGATAAGAAATTAAATTAAGGGGTACAAATACATTTTATCAATTATATCCGATTTGGCGTCTTCTGAACCCCACCTTGGGTATGTTTGTTTGGAAGAATAAAGGTGAATATCACAAGTATGATTGGATAAAAAAATCAGGAGCCCACATATCTCAGTTTTGACTTCTCTAAAAGGGATAAGATTTTCGTTAGACTTGAATTAATCAACCCGTAGGAATTTGGCCTGTTGTCCCGCTTAATTAGGATACTTGAAACCCAGCTGAAGGTTGAGATTAGTAAGCCCGCATGCTGGATAAGGAATAAAATTACTAAAATACCCATTAACAGTAACTAAGGTAAGGTTTTTACCCTCTTTCCTTTTCCTTTTCCTTTCACCTGGTCCCCCACTTTGACAACAGCACAGAGTATTCAGCCGAAGGTAACAAAATCTCTCTCTCTTTCTCTCTCTTTTACTCTCTCTCTCCTTTACTCTCTCTCTCCTTCTTGTGTCCCTCATCTCTATATCTCTTGCCTAGTTATGATTTGCTGGTTCCTCTGTCTCTCTCTCCTCTTCTCTTCCTCCATGGCTGATGCCTGAAACGTTGTTGGGTCCAAGGATTTTTTTTTCGTTTGTACAATACTATGTATTTTTTTGTAATCTACTAGCTGAGAGA